ATCCATTAATAAGTAACCAATTAATCTCTGTAAATTCACCCAACAGAAGATTACAGTTGACAGTTGAACAATACAGGGGGTTGGGGGACCGACCCTCTGTGCAGTCAAAAATCCATGTATAACTTTACAGTCGGCCCTCTGTATCCACAGATCACACAGTACTACAGTACCTATTTACTGGGAAAAAAATCCACATACATAACACAAATAAGTCAAACCCATATTGTTCAAGGGTCAACTGTACATAGCCACTGAAGAGTTAGATACCCATGTACTAAGTATAGAAATATACTGCAGATGCTATCCTTGAAGGAAAAAAAAAAAGCAATTTCATTTGTTTATCCAAACCAGGATAAAAATATATTCTGGTGTATGCATAAAAACATCCTGGTATTTCACTTCTAAAAATTGGTCTACTTAATAATCAAGAAAAGAAAGTTATTAAGCTGATTAATCTTTAAAGTCAGGCACACATGGGCTCCTATCCTAATTCTAGCATTTTGGGTCAGGTTACTTATCTCACTCAACCTCAGTTTCCTCATATGTAAGTCGGGGGAAGAAAACAGTACTTTACCTCTTATGATTTTTGTTAGCCTTCTTATAAAGTGTTTTACACAGTGATTGGTATGCAGTAATGACTCAAGAAACACTAGTTATTACATTTTAAATCTTTTTCTGAATTCTTTTTCAAAATATAGCACAATTTTCTGATTCTCAAAATACCTAAATCAAAAGTTAACAGAAACTACGTAGTAAACAAGAAGTTTCAATGAACTCAACTACAAGTCTGACTACATTTTCTCACCCTCTCTTAGCCTAAAGCACACATTTTCAAGGCAAAGCGACACTGCTTACATTATTGAAGGAAAGTAATTACAATGTTACTTTTCAAACTGCAGGTCAGGGCCCATTACAAAGGACATGAAATTAGTAGCAATTTGCATTTTTATTGGAATAAAAAAGACGACCAAAAGAGAAAGAAGAACACAGGTAAATGACTTTTGTTTTAGTTATATCAATGTGCATTTAAAAACATTACATAAAATTTCTTACTGGGTCCCAATCAACAGTTCAAAAGCCAATGCCCCACTTCATAGACATAAACAACCACATGCAGTTTAAAATCTCACCACATGATGGAGCTAAACTTCTGCATACCTCAGAAAACTGCTCAGGTGCAGTGCTGAAAACACTGCTACCCTTAACTCAAGTGCTCCTATCATCCCTTCAAATAAAGAAAAGACTTAACACTGAATTGAGGCGGGGTGGTGGTGGGATGAATTGGGAGATTGGGATTGACATATATACACTAATATGTATAAAATAGATAAGTAATAAGAACGTGCTGTATAAAAAAAATAAAATAAAATTCAGAAAAAAAACCCGCTAAGTTGAAATAGAGAACCCAACAGTAATTTAAGTCTATCCTATTTATTCAAGATAAGACTAAAAGGGCTCTGGCAGAAAACAAGAGGTTAATTATAACTGAGAATCCATGAATAGTGATTTTGAGCGATAAAAACAGTATTAAGAAGTCACTACTAAAAGTGTATACTTGTTTGTGTTCGTCAAAACCACTCTGGGTAAGGTCTAAGGAGATAGTTTCAAATACTGCTAGTTAAGAGTTCAAACTGATACTACTTTCTGTCGGCAATTTAAAATAAATTAGAATAACTGATCATTTAGAACAGGCAATCCCAAGTCTCAAAATCATCATCTTCATTCATGATCTATATAGCCAGATCAAGAGTCTGGTTCTAGAAAGCAATAAGGATTCAAGAGTCTGGTTCTAGGGCTTCTCTGGTGGCACAGTGGTTAAGAATCTGCCTGCCAACGCAGGGGACACGGGTTCAAGCCCTGGTCTGGGAAGATCCCACATGCCGCGGAGCAACTAAGCCCATGCATCACAACTACTGAGCATGCACTCTAGAGCCCCTGAGCCACAACTACTAAGCCCACGTGCCACAACCACTGAGCCCACGTGCCTGGAGCCCCTGCTCTGAAACAAGAGAAGCCACCACAATGAGAAGCCCACGCACCACAATGAAGAGTAGCTCCTGCTCGCCACCAACTAGAGAAAGCCCGCGTGCAGCAACTAAGACCCAACGCAGCCATAAATAAATAAATGAATAAACAAACAAATAAAACAGGCAAAGTACATAAATAGACATTAAAAAAAATGAAAACAAGTCTTATACTCATTTCAGAGAAAATGAACTAAAGAGAAAAAGGAAACAAAGGGAGGAGCAAGAAACTCATATGTATCCAGGCTCTGAAGTAGGCCTGGAAAAAAATGAACCCAGGAAAAGCATAACTGAGAGCAGCCTGGGGGGTGGGGGGGTGGGGGTTGGACACAAACAACAGCAGCAACAGCGAAGCAAATTCCAGAGACCTGAACAGAAGAGGAAAGGAGGCAGAGTCTATAACTAAGAAGTGATCTCAGTTACTTCTCAGTAATAGTCTACATTTCCTAACAACTATGATCCATTTTATGTCTATGAAATGAAATGTTCACTTTACGAAATTCCAAAATGAGTCCTATGGAAATATTACAGAATAGAAAATGCATCCTAGATTCTAGTCTAGGCTCACACTAATTACATGAAAACAGGCCAATTAACCTTCCAGAGAACCATCTGTATAAAATAAAGTCAGTTCACATGATCATTAAAAGCCATCTTCAAACTTTAAAATTCCCCTGTCTGGGAGAATTTTCTCTCTCCAATGCAGCTTTTTCAATATATTATGATCTGACAAGTCCTTACTGGGGAACAACCTTCCAAATTGTAAAACTGTTCCTATAAGAGCTGTTTTAGTAAACTCTTCTATAAGAACGGCCTGTACCCCCAAAAGGTCCTAGATGAATGCCTTAGCATGACAGAGCTTGATTAACAGGAAAGCAGATGATCAAGACCCCCTCTTGATTCCTTTGCACTATGGAAAAAACAAAGTGGAAGACAGCTTTTGAGCCAGACAGATTGATTCTAATCAATTTCAAGGTCCCTCTTGGCATGCCTTGTAAGTGGATGACAATTTCAATGTCAAGCAAGTCTTACACAAACTATGTTCTGTTTTGGTTATGTAAAATGAACATTTTTAAATTAGTAAGTCACCTTATACGTAACAACACTGCAAAGTTCTCAGAACTCCTAAAATTTGAGTAATATGCCATTCACAGTCTCATTTATTTGAAAAAGAAGTCTTCCGGTTATAAGGAAAGACTTCAAAAACTGATTTTTTAAAAAAACATTATCTATAGGAAAGTAAGTAAAGCAAATTATCAGAAGAATAGTATAGGAAAAGGTAAGACGCAAAAGTAATGTGCAATGTACTTACCTGGTTTGAATTTTAAAATGCAGATCTTTCAAAAGACAACTTTTAAAGTAAATGGTTTAGTATGTTGATGGTATATTGAAAACTGACTTTTTAAATAATAAAAACCAACAGATTAAAATAACTTAGAAAATAATATAAAAAGTATTTTACGACAAAAACATTAAGCTTTAGTTTAACTACATCTGTGTAGAACATGAACTAAACAGAGGCAGACAGAAAGACAAAAAGAAAAGAGAGATGCAAGAAAAAATACCTTTGTTGATGATGGTGGGGTAGGAAAATTAAGCCAGGCTGGAGCAAAGTCATGCTGCGCCATTTAGGTCCAGTCTCTCCAACTCAGCGAAACAAGGCTTCAACACCTCATGGCAAGTCCCTGTCGTATAAAAATAGAAGGTATTAGATCTATACAGCTCCTGGCCAAAATTACCTTCTTATACGTCCTTTAAATTACAATGATCTGACTACTACAAGATTTCAATTATAATGAAATTTTAGAAAAGGCAAAAATATAGTGACAGAAACTAGATCAGCAGAGTGCAGGTGAGGGGCCTGGGGCGGACGGAAATGACTACAAAGGGAAGGAAGAAGTTTTCCAGGGTAATTGAGTATTTATCCTAATTGTGGTGATGATTATACAAACTATACACTTGTTAAAACTCATCAAATTGTGCATTTAAAACTGGATAATTTTATTATAAACTATCTCAATGGTGCTTTTTTTTAAATTACAATAGTCTTATCACAAATAGATGAGTTATCAAGTGTCTCCTGATGTGACTGTACAACAGGATGTATGCAGCACTATCTATGTACACAGCACAAGTTATTCTTGCCGCCAACCCTTACAGAATCTGAAATCTGATTTAACTAACAATTTGCAGGAAATTCAACATACAGAAACAAATTAAAGGACAAATGAAGGAAGTAATCCACCAAATGCAGATCACACGATGAGTCAAATGATCTGGTTTCTTCAACAAATAAATAGCTTTCATAGGCAGAGCAATCAAATACAACATGTGGCCCTTATATAAATCCTTACTCAACCAAGTTTAAAAAGTGAAAATTATGAGTCAAAAATTTGAACATGAGCTGAATATTAAATGACTTTAAGAAATTACCAATCACTTTAGATGTGATGACTGTTAGTGCAATGCTGGTACAGTGGACCCTTAAAGAACAAGGTTTAGAACTGTGAGGGTCCACTTATACATGGATTTTTTGGGGTTTTTTTCGTTTGTTTGTTTTTTCACTAAATACATACTGCAGCACTTCACGACCTGAGGTTGGTTGGATCCAAGGATGTGGAGCATCGGGTGTGAAGGGCCAACTGTAAAGATTTTCTGACTTTTCAAGTCAGACTTTTCAACTGCATGGATGGACAGCACCCCAACCCCCACCCTGCTCAAGGGTCATCTGTAATAAAAGGACATATACAGAAGTCTTCGCAATTAAATCAATACATGTGGAATTTGCTTCTTTAAGAAAAAGGGAACGCTGAATACGGGTGTCACTGAAACAAGGTTGTCCACATGTTTATAAATGTTAGTAGAAGTAGGTGTATAGTCTCTCTACTTACACATATGTTTGAAATTTTCCATAATTAAAAGGTTTTTTTAAATTACAATCATCACAATGGGTATCCACTGCTCTTGCATTCTAAACTTAACTTTTTGGAAGGAAGCCTCTCTTAACTGCATCAATAAAAATTTCACGTTGCCAGCCCAATCTAAACACAGTAAACTCAGTTTTTTAAAATGAGGGAGAAGCCAACTGGGCAACTGTACTCATTTCCATATAGAGCTTACATATTAGTCAATGAAGAAATCAAAATTTCTGAACATTAATGTCTAAGTTTACTAATGTTTCATATTTACAACTACATAATAATCTCAAAAGTGGAACTTTAAAAAGCAAAATGATCAATACCACTGTTAAGTCTTCCTTTTTCAAAATTCTTTCAAATATAAGTAAGTGCCATGGCAGAATTTGTCATACCAATTTCCTAAAATACTTTAAAAATTGTCAAGATACTACAGAAACATTCTACTTCTACCCCAAACTGTACTGGTTCTTACAAGAAAGGTTAAGGGGGGGGTGGGGGGGAACAGGAAAAAAAACCTGATACAATTTACCAATACCAATAAAACACTTATGAAACAAATGCAATATTTTAAGACTGTACCTAAATCAAAATGAACTACACAAAAGGAAAAAAATGATACAATTTACCAATACCAATAAAACACTTATGAAACAAATGCAATATTTTAAGACTGTACCTAAATCAAAATGAACTACACAAAAATTTGGACATTTTGAGCTCTAATTCTACCACCACCATACATTATATTTTAAAGTCTTCTGAAATAAAAATGAAAACTCAAGTGTTTTAGGATATATAAAAATTTTTATTATCTTTTGACATGAAGCTAAATACTGTTTTGAGGTGTCTGTGATAGGATGTTACTTTTCCAACAACTTTTTAGAAACTTTTTGTTAGAAACTCTTAAAATTATAGGTCCAATAACTCAATGAGAATGAAAAATTATTTTTATAGCTTGTTCCAAATAAAAATTCACAAAAACTCCAAAGGACCTAAATAAAATAAACAATAATTTAAAGCTTTTTCATTTTATACAGGGTATCATCCCAAATGATGGCTAAATAAGAAGTTATATTCTAAAACTTATCCCTAGGAGGCAAACTACTACTACTGTCTCTATTTCTGCAATGTCTTTATGAATTCTAATTTAAATCGAGTTCTTACAGAATAAAGCATGGATAGCTAAATGGCATAGGTTTACCTGTTCTGAAAAAAGGTAAAGAGCAATACTAGCTAATACTAGGACATTTATACAAGTGTGTGAAAGGATCAGGATATGCTATCCCCAAAATATGCCACTTTGACATAAGAAAAATTTTGAGCTGAAGGCATGTGAGCTCCTGAAATCCCTTACCTACCTCAAAGCAGAGCCTCCCAAAAGAATTTATTAATCCTGTCCCCTGGAGCAACTCTAATCTTCTCCTTTTGGGAAACAAACAAACAAACAAAATCTAGCACCACCACACCCAGACATTGCCACAAACCCCTAAGGACCCAGTTATCTATCTCTTCTCAAAAGTCATTTGCTTTTTCTATTAAGTATCCTTTTTCCCTGTTAAGTTAGGTATAGAGATCCCAAATTCTACTCATCTCTTTGAGTTACTCATCTCTAAGTACTGCCAGGTGTGAGGACACGCTAATAAACTTGTTTGTTTTCTCTTGTTAATTTGTCTTTCCTCAATCTAATTTACAGGGCCCCAGCCAGAGAACCTAGGAAGGTAGAAAAGAAATTTTACCCCCTACACATATAAAAGCAAATTAAAGTTTAAAAGCTCCACCTTATCCATTTTCTTTTTTTTCCTTTGAATTTCTGAATTTTATTTTTTATACAGCAGGTTCTTATCAGTTATCTATTTTACACATATTAGTGTATATATGTCAATCCCAATCTCCCAATTCATCCCACCACCACCATCCCCGCCTCTTTCCCCCTCCATTTTCTTTTAACTGTGCTTTATGCCATCTGATTTCATTCCATCTTCCTTTCCCTGTATGTTATAGGCTGAACTGTGTCCATTCCCCAGCCCCCCTGCCCAAAATTTCATCATGCTGACACCTAACATACCTCAGAATGTAGAAAGAAAGAAGGGGAGAGAGGGGGGGGGAGAGAGAGAGAGGGAGGGAGGGAGGGAGGGAGGGAGGGAGGGAAAAATGCTGCCAGTATGAAAATCCTAATTTCTCATCTCACCCAATTTACAACTTGTTCACCACTGACAATAAAAATCCACCAGGGGAACACTGGTTCTGAAATAACCCAAATTGAAACTCCATACGTTCTAAATGTACATGCCTGACTTTAAAAAAAAAAAAAAAAAAAAAGACCACTAACTACTTAGAAGCCCCAAATATAGTTCTTTGAATTGAAAACTAATATACTTTGGCAAGAAATACACAAATAGATGGGACTTTCCTATTTCTGGTAATGTTTTACTTCTGAATCCACAAAATTTGTGTCAAAGAATGAGCATCAAACTTACATCTTTATAACGGTTTATATTTCAGATAAATAAGCTTTAAAAGTCAAGAAGCCTATCAAAAACACCCCAAATCAACCAATGGCTAAAGCATTCTAACTAGAGGCAGAATACAGATTACTGTTAAAAAAAAGAACATGGGGGGACTTCCCTGGTGGTCCAGTGGTTAAGAATCTGCCTTCCAATGCAGGGGACTCGGGTTTGATCCCTGGTCGTGGAACTAAGATCCCACATGCTGCGGGGCAACTAAGCCCGCTCACCGCAACTACTGAGCCTGTACCAGAACTAGAGAGCCCACATGCCACAACAAAAGATCCCACATGCCACAACTAAGACCTGACGCAGCCAAAAATAAATAAATATTTTTTAAAAAAAGAAAAACAGAACATGGGCTTCAGAGTCCAACAGGCCTGGATTCAAATCAGCTCAACCAGTTACTAGGCTGAGTCTCAGTTTCCTCTCTTCATTAAAATTAAGGTAACTACTACTTACTTCCCTTATAAAATTCATCCTGAAACCTGTCAAAGTTATTTAAAAAAAAAAAAAGAAAAAAAACTAGTACCCTTCACCACCATGATGGTTTTATAACAATCCTTGAATAAGGTTAAGTTTTTCCATCATTAAACAGCTAACAGTTCATTAGGAAGGCAAGAACCAGAAGACCACTATTCATAGTCATCTTTAGTTCTCTTATTGGTAAACCTGTGGAATACTCCTTTAGTAAGCTTAGTTTAATACATTAACAGATTTCCTTTAAAAAGTAGTCTTCTTCCCAATTCAGGCCTAAAGCCATTATACAGGGCAGAGCAAAGGAGCCAAGGGTCTAAAACTAAGTGTTAGAGCCAGAGTATGGATGAGAGGGTATCAACACATGGAACTGACCCAGCACAGGATGTCAGCATCAAAGCAGAGCAACAAAGGACATCCATGAAGAAGGGACAACCAGGGATGGGGCAGTGAGCCCAAAAAGAGTGAGGAAGGCATCCATGCAGTAGAAAGGAAGCAGCTAGAATAAGGAGTTATAAGACTAAGCAGGGAGAGAAGGGTATCCACATGGAAGTGGCAGCTGGGGCTACAATAAAAAATTGGTTATACACAAGGAAAACGATCAAATAAATATATTTAGAATGATGAAAGCTAGTAAGTTTCATACTGTTAAAGATGGTAACTAATAATGGAAAGGATGAAAACTAGAGTGAATGATGTGTTTGTTGTATGATTAACACAAGTCACATA